TGGGCAGAACACATATTTTTTGCATTATTAAAACAGTCCTGGATGTTGGGCAGTGGCACACGCCTTTAACCCCAGCACACAGAGGCAAAGCAGGCAGATCTCTGTTAGTTTGAGGCCAGCCTGGTCTACTGGTTCCAGGTCATAGTGAGACCCTGCCTCAAAAAAACAAACAAACAAACAAATAAATAAATAAATAAATAGAATAGAATAGAATAGAATAGAATAGAATAGAATAGAATAAAACAATCCCGGAGCCAGCAAAACAACTCTGCAATTAAAAGGTGCTTGCTGCCAATCCCAATGACCTGAGTCCGGATATATAGGCACCATGTGTTGCATCAATTCCCAGAAGTTGTACTACACATACACACACACACACATTAAATGTAAAACAGTTTTGGTGGGCTGAGGGTATAGCTCACTGTTGTAGTGTGTGCCTCCCATGCACAAGGTTCTAGGTTCTGGTACACCCTTCATTTACTTATTTATTTACTTATTTTTTAAAATTTGATGTGCACTGGTGTTTTGTCATGGGTGTCGGGTCCCCTGGAACTGGAGTTAAGACAGTTTTGAGTTGCCATGTGGACACTCAGAATTGAGCCTGAGTCCTCAGGAAGAGTAGTCAGTGAACCTAACCACTGAGCAATCTCCCCAGCCCCCGGTACACAGCTTTAATCTCAGAATTCCAGAGTGAGAAGCAAGAGGAGTTCTGTGAGTTCCAGGCCATCCAGGGCTACATCATAAAACCTTATCTCAAATAAATAAATCAATAAACATAAATAAGCAAATTGTTTTCCCCAAGACTTCCAAGGGACACATCTCTTGATGAGTCCCTCCCCCCTTTTAAGATTTGTTGACTTTATATTTTTGTGGCATGGTGTTTTGCCAGCATGTATGCCTGTGCCTGTGCCTGAGGTCAGAAGAGGGCGTCAGATCCCTTGGGACTGGAGCTGCTATATGAGTGCTGAGACTCAAACCCCAATGCTCTGAAAAAGTAACAAGTATTCTTAACTACCGAGCCAACTGTCCAGCCCGAATGTCTCACTCTTAGCCCAAGATGGCGTGAAATGTGTGGCCCTTCTGTCTGTGCCTCGGGAATGTTGGGATCACAGGTGAGCCCCCTCCATGCCCACCCTCAGTCACCTCTCCCAGAGACCTGGCCCCAAGCCCGAGGCCCCGCCCCCGGGGTGACAGCCGCTTCTCACCCGACAGAACCACCTCCACCAAGTCGCCCTCCTGGATGTCTGCAGCTGATCGCACCAGCTGCAGGAGGTTGGCCGATGTGGGGTCATGTTTGAAGAGCAGGATCTTGTCGTACAGGCCGTAGAAGCCACACTCTGGGAACTAAGGGGAGGGGGAGGTAGCAACAGAAAAGCTCAGAGCAGCCTGTAGCAGCAGCAGCCGGCAGCCTTCTTGAACCCTCCAGGGGCAGAACCGGTTATTTCCCCCGGAAACCGAGACCCTACAGCCCACCGCTTCCTGCTTGGCCCCTCCCAACCCTAGCTTGAGCTAGTGGGGGGGGCAGGTGTGCCGGGTGGGGGTACAGGCACTGGCCAGAGTCTGGTAGCAGGACTGTCAAGAGAAGAGCTGAGGGGTAAAGTGGAGGGGGGGCGTTTAAAGGCTCCAGGAGCAGAATGGACACTTTGATTTTTCCAGAGCTGGTGGGGCACTGAGTGATCACCCCCTTCTCTTCTGGCCATATCTCCACCCCAGCTTCCTTCCTGACTCTATTGTCCATTACCTGGCTCTTAGCCCAGCACTGGGGCAGAATGAACTAGAAAGGAGGGGGTGCTTTGGGAATTTTGAGTGGGGGTGCTCAAGATAGCTAGAGGTAAGGAGGTCTCTCCTCATCCCGTGCTCTAAAGACCCAGGTGTCCCGGTCCCAGCTTGAGAAGGGGGGGGGGGCAGGAAATGAAACACCGTAAAACAGAAAGTGAAACTGCCCAGGTGGGGCACAGGGAAGGAAGGCAGACAGGAAGGGGCCCTAAACAGCACCTGTACCCCAGGAAGAGCAGAAAACAAACTGGCTGGGCCTGAGGAGGGGAGGCTGGGGATCTGACTCTCGCACCAAGAATTTCATGCACAGGAGCCCCAATCCTGCTTCCCATAAAGCCAGCTGGTTTAGAAGTGGCAGCTGGGCTGGTCTTGGGGAGTTGGTGGGCACAACCCCCCATCTTCAACAGAAAAGCAGTACTGCCTTGGCCCTCGTAGTAGCTTAATATCTCTCTCTCTCTCTCTTTCTTTCTTTCTTTCTTTCTTTCTTTCTTTCTTTCTTTCTTTCTTCCTTGCTTCCTTCCTTTCTTTCTCTCTTTCCCTTGAGACTAGGGAATGGAGATGCCCTAGCCTGACGTAAATCTCCTGATCCTCCTGCTTCTGCCTTCCCAGTGCTGGGGTTACAAAAGTGCCAGACCTGGGAGGTCTTTTTCTAAACTAGTTTCACCCCCTAGGGAAAATGGGGGAGGTGACCCTTTTCCTCCTGCTTCCCCCAAACCCAAAGAATCCATTTCCAGGAGCCTGAGAAAAGCTAAGTCCGGATGTTTTGGATTCCGATGTGCTCATTTTAGAGTGTACATTCTGGGTTCCAGCGGCGGCTGTCCCGCTGTCGGTGCCTTCTAGGATTCTTATGGGACAGCAACATGATCAACTTAAGACTCTAATGTTTGGATGCCTTAGTATGAAAAGATTTCAATATCCAACTACTCAGGACTCAGGTTCTAACATCTTCACAATCAGGCACTTGAACTACACAAAAGCATCCCCCACCCCAGGATGAGAGGTGTAGGGTGGGGTGGAAATGTAACTTGTGGCTTTTGCTTGCTAGACAAGGGCTCTACCAGCCTGGTCATAACTTTTGTTTGTTTTTTGACACAGGGCTTCTCTGTGTAGCTCTGGCTGTCCTGGAACCCACTCTGTAGACTAGGATGGCCTCAAACTCAGAGATTCACCTGCCTCTGCCTCCTGGTGTGGGCCACTACCACCTGGCCTGGTTGTAACTTTTAATGTTCCTAGGATTTGGGCATCTAGTCCTACGGGTTCCCTCTTGTCATGACTCTTGGGAGGAACCCTGATAGCTAAAGCTAAGAGTACCTACAGGGAAACTGTGATTCGGAGAGCAGATAGAGTCTGCAGGATTTTGGGGGGTGCCTTGCTCCTTCACACCCCATCTTAGGCCTGGGAAAGGGTAGAGATTGCACCCTGAGACCTTGCTTGCCCCTGGCAGCTAGTCCACACATCCACACATGTCACCCGATCACCATGGCCAGCACGGCTTCAATTTCTACAGTTTCCAAAGAACGGAGGCCAAGAGTGAGACCATAAGAAGAGGTCCCCCTGATCCGCAGCTCCCACTTGCCCCTTCTTCTCCACTCCACACCTGGCAGGCCCCTCCCTTCCTCCCTGCCCGCTGCTGAAAACAACAACAAGCAGCAACACGCAATTTGGGGAGGCCTCTGAGGCACCCCACCCCTACCCGGGCCTCTCTCAAACCAGTGGTAGGGTGAGGACACAACTGGGGAGTAGTGCCCCTCCTCGGCTGTTACCTAGGAACCCTCTCTCCCCTCCCAGCAAGCCCCGGAACAACGCTGAAGTCTCTTCTCCTTCATGAGGAGAGCCCCTATGCCCTCACCTTCTGGTCCACGATAGAGCAGGCGAGTTGCTTCACATGAGCCAACTCTGAGGCGGCCGGCAACAGCACGAACTCTCGGGTCAATCCGATCTGGATGTGGAAGGAGACCCCCGAGCCTGGGGTCGGAATCTGAGGCAGCAGAGGTGGCGGCGACTGGAGCTCCAAGCCACCGGGGGGCGGAGGAGACCCGGGCCCAGGAGAGCCCGGGAGTCCGGCAGAATGGGAGGGGGCGGCGGCCATGGGGGCCAGACCCGGACCTGCCGCCTGGAGCTCGCCGAGGAACCTGGGACCTAGATCCGAGAGCTCTCGTGCGGTAGTGGTAAGAACGCAAGCATTTGAGAGAGAAATCTGTCAGGTTAAGAGACTGAAGGATGGCGGGATCTTGGGCAATGAGAGAAAAGGAATCTAGTGGGTCAAACGCCGGGAGTCAAGGGAGCACAGCACAGAAAGAAAAGCAATGGTTTGAAGGAGGGCACCCAGATATTGGAAGATGGCAAGAAACCAAAAAAGAAAATCGGGTAGGGCAGGGTCTCTAGAATCAAAAGACTCTCCCCCCCCCCCAATCCAAGGCCCCTGGGAGAGAGAAGATTGAGAGCGGAGCAGGGGGATCCCAGGATCCAGTAGGTTTGACGGCAGGCTCAAACTCAGAGCGGGCCTGAGGATGCCTTGTGGGTAGAAAGCAGTCTTTGGTCAGGGACCTAGTGGATCATAGGGACCCGACTGGCTCAGGGATGGGGAGAGAGGGGGTCCCCAGGGCCAGGGCTAAAAGAAGAGACTCTCACAGCTCGCGAAAATTGGAGAAAAGTTGGGTCAGGGGCGGCGGGGAAGGGCCATTACCGGAGGCGGGGCGGGTGGGGGGCAAGGGAGGGTCGCACAGCGCGGTGGCTCTTTTTTTCCCCCTTCAAAGTTTAAGTCAGCAGCAGCGGCCCAGAAGGAAGTCTCCGCAACGATGGCGCAGCCGGCCAATCAGCACGGGGCTCCGTAACGTCACAGGGCGGAGCCTTTATCGAGGGGCCTGGGGCGGAAGGGGAAGGCGGGACCCTGTATCAGGGAGTTTGGGGGTTGGGGAGGAGTGGTATCTGGTGGCTGGGGTGGGAGGAGGGCGGAAGGGTCAGTGCTTTCTCCGCATGCTCCAGTCTGAAAAGCTGACTTTCCGCTGCAGTCCACTGTGGCGGGCGGGAGAGGCAGCGCTTGGTCGTTGAAAGAGGGAGCTGTCAGGCTGGCCGGCATCCGGCACCCACCCCAGGGAAAGGGTCGGAAATCGGTGTCAAGTCCGGTGGCTTTCCTGTTCTTGTTCCTATTCCCCCCACCCCAAGTCCCCAGCTCAACAATACACCCAGTACACAGGTGGGAGACTGAAACACGGGAGAGCTTAAGCCTCGGGTCTGTCTCCAGTGAGTTGAGCTGGGTACAGAGCCTGAAACCACAACCAAGGTGACACGCCAAAGGTCAAAACTACTTCAGAAACTTCTCAAGAGACCTAACCTACATCCTCCTGGCTGTGTGACTTGAGGTATGGGCTTCTCCACTGTGAACCTTAGTTTCCCTATCATGAGGCTGTATTCCAGAGGTGGAATACGGGTGCCTGGAACACAGTAGAGTTGATGTGGTTGCCCTTAAATTTTGCAGAGAAAAAAGGAGACACCAAAGTCACTCAGGGGTTTCTGGCTGATTGTGTTAAGGGAAACATCCAGCATCTGGAAGTGAGATGGCTCAGTGGGTAAAGGCACTTGAAGTCAAACTCACTGACCTGAGTTCAGTCCTGGAGACTCACACAATCAAAGGAGAATGAGCTCCTCTGGGTTATCCTCTGACCTCTACCATTCTCCGAAACAAATAGTGCCATACCAGGAAATTTAAAAAGTTAACATTTATTGAGAGTCTGTCGCCAGACCTGTGTAACCAACCCAGCTCCATCAGGGGAAATTCGGACGGCTATTCTAATAATCAGGCAGAGGGGACCAGTTAGTTTTCACATCCAGAAAGCTGGAGCTTTAAAGAGGAGTGACTTGTCACAAGAGCCCCCCTTACTGGTTCAGTGCTGCTGGGGGCAGCTGAGGTCGGTACAGTGTTGGCTGTCACCACATCCGGGGGACAAGGGTTGGGGAAGGAAGTCTGAGGCTGGAGTAAAAACCCAAACTACCACCTGGGGAAGCTGCAAAGAACCCAAAGGGAGGGGGGGGGCAAGGCCACGTGGAGCTCACAACTTGGCCACTTGAATGTCACCTAAATATCACACACCCACCTGCGCCTTCTCCTGGATGGGCATGTCCCCCAGCACGATCACAGGCCTACCTCTGGACCTGGACTTACAGCCCTTTTTACCCGTGACCCTTGTAGAGGGGCTGGCAGGTTAAGAGTCTCAGCCTGAGATCCTTGAGCAGACCTCACTCTCTTCCTCTACAGTATGGCCTCCCAGCCCTCCCCCACTGTCAGAGTCTAGGAAGATGGGAGGAGGACTCTGCACTGCTGTGAGGACCAGATCCCTGCATGTGCTCTATACCCTGCCTAGGCTGCTGGTCTACCAACACTCTTCCTGTTCTGTCAGTCTACGACTGGGTATGGGGTAGGAAAGGGGCTTTAGTTCTTAGTTCCCGAGCAGGCATGGAGTCTTCAACTAAATTGTTTATTGCCACAACACAGCATCTGTTGACCAGTTTACTGCCCCTGGGGAAGACATGTTTAGTGACAAAAAGGAGGGGCTCACAGAGATTCAGTCCCATGTTCCACTTCTGCCCTTCCACTGGCTTGCCACCCAGCTCCACCCCCACCCTGTTCTATGACAGAACCCCAATCCCATCATCTCTCTCTCCCCAGATTCCACTCAGCCAAGGCAGAGAGAGTGACCCTCCCCCAACACCCCCTACCCTCTTGAAAGATGGCCTGGGGAACCTATCTTACTCCAAAGGGTTTATTGAGACAGTTTTTTTTTTTCCACATACAAGTTGGGGGCAAAAGGGATGGGGCTTATAAACAGGAACCTGAAGGGGGAACCAAGGGCACAAGGTAGAACCCAAATAAAGAGTGAAATAAATAGAGGCAAAAGTGTGGAGTTGGAAGGAGACTGACAGACTATCACACAGTGATAACGTGGGGTGGATGCCATTAAAATCCCATTTATACAGATAGACAGCAAGCTAGGGGCCAGGGGCCCACTCCACCCTCTATATTTCAAGGAGGGCCTGTGGCTGGGAGCATGCCCCAGAGGAGTGGAGGCCCTTTCCAGAAGACCTGGCCCCAGATGCTTGTTAGTGTTGGAAAGCAGAAGGAAGGGACTGAGGTCCAAGAGGACAGCCTGGAGCCCACACAGGAGGGCCACAGGAGACCCCTTTCAGCACAGCCCTTCATCTGATGGGCAGGGGAAGGGTGGCACTCTAGGGTAGAGCCTGGCACCTTCTATTGTCTTAGGAAAAAAAAAAACAGATCCCCAAGGACATCCAGCCCTGGCTGTGCTGAACTCAGGAGGACAGCTGTATCAGGAGTTCGGGCTGGGGCATGAGCACAAATCCCAGAGGCCATCCTTGAAGGGCGATTCCTGGGGAAAGGGCCATTAGCACCACCAGGCTCCAGGAAGATGAAAGAGGCTTGGGGCTGCCTGCAGAGAAAGGGAAAGCAGCTGGTTAGGCTAGAGTCCCACTCTAGCCCCCATTTCCTCCCATCTTCTCAGGGAAGTCTCATTCTCACAGGACTGTGGGCTTTGGCACAACTCAAACTGACAGGCAAGTGGGTTATCTTCTGGGGCAAGGATGCTGGGTTTCCGCATTCCTACCTAGAACACAAATGGCCTCTGGCCCTTACCTCAGCCCCACTGGCCTGGCCCCGCTCCCTGCTACTGTGTAGCCAGGGCGAGGCCAGGTGGGATCATACGAACACCTTGGCTAGGGCGTCAGCACCAGCACTGGCGATAAGTGCCTTGCTGGGATGGCAGGCCACTGCATGGATGGCCTCCTCATGCTTCTTGCGGTGGGCCGTGATCTCCTGCACACATGTCTTGTTGTCTAGGCTCCATAAACGTAGAGAGCAGTCATGGCCTGCACAGGCATGGAGCAAATGAGGCTGTTATCAAGCCTGAGCTTAGACTTAGATTCTGAACCCTTCACCCGGCCTCATGTAAAGGCCTTAAGGTGGAGGCAGCTTAGCCCTAAGTGTAACCCTTCTGTCACCATCCTGCTAACCATTCTGCTAACTGCCAAGTATATGTAAAGACCCAGGGAGGAATGATGCACACAAACACTGAGCAAGAACAGCTTAAAGTGGTAGGATGTGGCTCAGAGGCGGCCAGCCCAAGGTCCTGGGTTCTATCCTAGCACAGCAGGGAAGAAAGAAAACAGAAGAAACTAATTCCAGGTGATAGGCAAAAAGTATCAGTTCAAGGAGGGGAAGCCTTCCAGGTAGAGGGATGGCCAAGAAGGGCCTGGGGCAAGCAGCCTATGAGGCCTGATGACTGCAGGGAATTGAGACTGGCTCGGCTAGGGACTTTGCTGAGCATGAGAGGGCATGACTAGCTTGAGGCTCTGCTCCTCAGGTCAGCCCAGCTAGAAGGACTCAGCCCAGAAAGCAGTGCCTCTGATCTTAAGCTTGTCTGTACCACAGCTGGGTCTGATACCACTGGCCGGGAGCAGGAGGTCTGTAGTGTAGCACATGGCAACATCAGGCAGAGTGAGCTGTGATCTGCTCACAGCCTCCACCACCACTTGCACATCTGCAAGCACATGTGCACACACTCATCACAGCTGACACTGGTCTGAGGGACCTGTCTACCATTCTAGGAGACGGCTGAGCCTATTATCTGAGAGCAGAGAGGGACCAAATGCTCAAACTCCAAGGGGATCTGGGTCCATCACCATACACCTGTAACACAGGACAACCCCCCAGGCAGGAATACCAGGGGCAGTAGATGAAGATGAGGCAGGAATGGAGTTGCCTGCCATGGCTGTAGCCCCTTCTCTTTGCCTCCAACCCTCCTGAGGAAGGAACAGCAAAAGAGGCCCAACTTACTTCCTGACATCAAGAACACGCCATTGGGGTCCACGGCTAGGCAGGTGACTGCGTCCAGGTGGGCAACCATGGAGTGCACAGATTTACCTGGAGGGAGGAACAGAGAGTGGCTGGTAGTGGCTTCTCTCTGCAGGCCTTATTTGTTTGTTTGTTTGTTTGTTTGTTTGTTTGTTTTCCGAGACAGGGTTTCTCTGTGGCTTTGGAGCCTGTCCTGGAACTAGCTCTTGTAGACCAGGCTGGCCTCGAACTCCCAAAGATCCGCCTGTCTCTGTCTCCCGAGTGCTGGGATTAAAGGCGTGCGCCACCACCGCCCGGCTTGCAGGCCTTATTTGGGAAGGTGAAGCTGGGGGGGGGGGGTTGGGGTTCACAGGGTATAGTATAAATATCAGGATTTGGCAGTCCAAATGTCTTCCCAAAAACACAGTGAGGGGACAATTAAGGTTGGGCCTCACCTGTCCGATTGTCCAGGAATCGGATGCCCCTATCGTCGTGCGCAGTAATGGTGAGGGGCTGATTTGGGTGACTCACCACCTGGTTGATCTGTGTTGGGCCTGGAAAGTAAGTGGGGAGAGGGGAGGGGACAGAGGAGGAAAATCAGAGGACTGGGACAGAGGAAGGAGGAACAGGCCACTTCTGCAATTGGGGACATGCTACCCAGCCCACTATGTCAAACTGGCTGGCCACCACTGAGCCTTGTTTCCTTCCTGCTTGTGGGCCCAGAGGGCACATTGGTAACATTCTGATCTCACTGATGGCTAGGTTCCCAAAGCTACAGGAGGAACTGGGGTCCTATGGGCATTCAAATCCCAGTCCCATTGGCCTGCCTGGCCAAGAGCCCTCACCGCTGCTCCCTCGGGACTCCAATGTGAGGAGGGCACTGCCAGCTTCCAAGTCATAAAGAACGGTGTCACCAGAACGAAAGGAGGCCACGACATGGGCAGACTCGGTGCTGGTGAAGGCCACTGAGGTGGGGATCCCGTGTTCTGAGAGCACAGGGGAGAAAAGGATACTTAAGGGGTCAGGCCCGCCCTGTGGCTGGGGGCCTCCTCTGGAGCCACCCCAAGCCCTAGGCTCTGCATCCTGTTGTGAGACACTGGCTCAACGCTCACCTCCAGACATAGGGAAGGTACAGAGGCAGCTTGGACTACTGCTGCTGGGGTCCCAGATGCGGACGGTGCCATCAGCGGAGCAAGATGCCAGGCGGTGGGAGGTGGGACTGAAAGCCAGACCCCACACAGCATCCCCATGGCCTTCCAGGACGTGGCTCAGCACGCTTGGGTCTGGGTAGGCCAAGAGGAAATAGGCTATTAGTGATGTCAGCCCCACCAGACAGCCCAGGGCCTGCAGCTCTGATGGGACCTGGGTGGCTGCCCACTGCCCATGAGCTCACCTGGGCAGATTCCTCATCTCAGGAAGCAGCTCAACAGCTTAAAAAAATGAAGCTTCCGAGTTCACTGTCTCCCCCAGGGCCAAGGTCAGCAGCTCAGGGCACCAGTAGAGCAAGAGGGGCAATGCTGTCTTTGCTGACCAAGGTTGGCCCCCTTTAGCCCTGGAATGTCCTTTCTTGCTAGTTTCTCACAGCCCCTGCTGCTCAAAGACCCTTCTGTAGCCTCTCAGGCTGTTGGACTCCACACAGTTCTGGGTCAAGTCCAGCTGACACCTGAAGTATGGGCAGTTCACTTAGGACTAACCCTTGACCTTCCAGATAACTGTTATCTTGATGGTAAACACAACTCCATACTCTGCCACAATATTCAAAAGTAAAGCAGCACTGGGGAAGCAAAGGCAGGAGGATCTTTGTGAGCTGGAGGACAACCTGGTCTACATAGAGATTTTCAATATGGACAGGACAACACAGTGAGACCCTGTCTTTAAAAAATGTGGTGGAGGTGGGGCTGGATAAATAGCTCAGTGGGTAAGAGCTCTTATGACAGGCTTGGTTCCCAACCTTGGTTCCCAAATGGTGGCTCACAACCATCTATAACACAAATACATGTAAAAAGAGTAAAACAGGTATCAATGAATAGGGCAAAGGCACTGAGTATGAGAAACTCTGGGTACCTTTTCACTTAGGAAAAAACTATTAGCCAAGCAAGCAGTAATGGCAGATGGCCTTTAAAACCCAACACTCGAGGGCAGAGGCAAGATCTCTGTGAGTTTGAGGCCAGCCTGGTCTACAGAGCGAGTGCCAGAACAGGCTCCAAAGCTATACAGAGAAACCTTGTCTTGAAAAAACAAAAACAAAAAACCAAGAAACCAAAAAAATTAACTACTTAAAAATTTTAAAAACTTTTATGGCCAAACAATGGAGGTGCACTCCTTTAACCCCAGCATTCAGGAGGGAGAGGGAAGTGGATCTCTGAGTTTGAGCCCAGCTTGGTCTAGAGAGTGAATTCCAAGTCAGCCAAGGCTACACAAGAGACACCCAAACCAAACCAAACATTTTTAAGCAAGCATCCCTAGAGTTGCTTTCTTTCTTTCAATTATTTAGCCTTATTTTATATGCATTGGTGTTTTGCTTGCATATATGTCTGTATGACGGTGTCAGGTACCCTGGAACTGGAGTTACAGTTGTGAACTGCCATATGGGTGCTAGGAATTAAACCCAGTCAAAATAACAAAAACAAAAAAAATGGGGTGGAGGTGGGGCTGGAGAAATGGCTCAGTGGGTAAGACACTCAGTATCATTTTTAAAAAATGTCTTTTAATAAACTCCAGGCCTGGTGCGTAGTTAAGAGCATTGGCTGCTCTTTCAGTGATCACATTCTTTTCTTCCCCAACTCTTCCCAGATTCTCCCACCTCCTTACTCACCCAACTTCATGTTCTTTCTCTCTCTCAAAAAAAAAAAAAAAAAAAAAAAAAGAGGGGGCTGGAGAGATGGCTCAGAGGTTAAGAGCATTGCCTGCTCTTCCAAAGGTCCTGAGTTCAATTCCCAGCAACCACATGGTGGCTCACAACCATCTGTAATGAGGTCTGGTGCCCTCTTCTTGCCAACAGGCATACAGACAGAATGTTGTATACATAATAAATAAATTAAAAAAAAAAGAAAGAAAAACAAAAATCAAAATAGTTAAAATCAAAATAGTTAAAGACAGAGGATAAAAAAGCAAAAATTGCCAAGAAGAAACAAAACAGACAAACAAACAAACAAACAAACAAACAAAAGAATCAACCCTAACAAGGAGTTTATTTTGTGCTGTCCAACTATTCCTGGGCATGGGGCCTGCCCTGGAGTGGGACCGATACACCAGTGACACTGGTCAGAGAGACTCACTTTCCCTTTCTCAGTAGGATTCAACTGCAAAAAGCTTCTCACTTAGAGATGGGATTTGGTGTTCACTTCTCCTAGTGAAAGACAGTTTTGTTCATTGTATTTGAGATAGGGTTTCTCTGTGAAACAGTCTTGGCTGTCCTGAAACTAGCTTTTGTAGACCAGGCTGGCCTCCAACTCACAGAGA